GCGGCGAGAATGGCCATCTCCAGGGCCTGGAGATAGCGAGGTCAGGGGTGAGGCTGAGCTTGCAGGGAGATACACTGCCTGGAAGACCACATGGTTACGTGGAGAATGGCCGTGAGTTCGGAAGACCATGAAATCCATTAAGACTACAATCAGGAAGTTGTTCATTTGCATGTTAGTTCCAGGGAGAGTACTGGCCCCCAAGACTGGAACGGCTCGATTCCCTGAACCAGCAGAGGTTGAAGAACCCTATAGACTATCTTATAGGTACCCCTGTAGGGTCCTATAAGGTCTCTCAACCTCCGATGGAAGGATGATTTATCGAAGTGGCCGCTGCGAAGAATTCTCTTTAGCTTCGCAAGAACATCGTTGATGAGTTGCAGGAGGAGATTGACGCGGCGCAGGGTGCGGGGGAAGTTGGTGCAGGGTTTGGGAGGTGTGGTATATACATGTTACATCATACATGATATTGTATTGCACTTCACTTGAAAATCAATAATACATCTATATATATAATATACTATATTATATATATAGTCTGTCTGGCGGCTGTTCTTGCTCTGCTTTCTTCTGACCACACCCAATTCTATTAACTGTTGCACTTGTGGAAGGTCTTGACAGTCCCACCTTTTGGCGGCCAGTGATCCACAAGGCGTCTCCTGACCACACCGCTACACCACCAAGCCCAAAAATAACGGCGTGGTTGCCCCAGCCATGCAGCCATCCTCAAGTAGATAAATTGATTATCCCTAGGGATCCACTGCCACCTTCTCAGAAGGTACGACTGGGCCGACCCTGGCACCTACATAAATAGTCTCCTTCCTCACCGTACCTGAGAAGGTATGTGGATCCATAGGGGATTGATAAATCCACCACAAAAAGGTGATCATACTTATTTCTCACTCTCACTCCCTCCATATATTATATATCTCTCTCTCCATAGCCCAATCCATAGGCTGCGGCGAGCTACGGTCCCTCGTTGATTAGCGTCTTCTACCCCTCTTTCTGTATAATTTAAATATAATATAGATATGTATATATATATATGTGTGTGTGTACGTGTATATAACTATATATTATTACTATATCCCATTGTAATTATATCCCTATTAAATGTCTCCTCACCTGTCTCTTCCCTATCTACTGCAGACCAAACTGTCCGGCACCTCCTGTCCGGCATCTCCTCAGCCAAGCCCACCTGGGACGCTCGTTCAGCTTGAAGTCGAGCCAGGGCTTCGAAAACAGCACCTGGAAAAACTTCAGCAGTCACTGGAGCAGTTACTGGAGCCCTGCTCTGAGGCAGTTTCTGCGAAGACAAAACGCCATCCATCATCCCATGTGACCGTGGTGAGGAAACAAAGCACTGGCAAAGGGGCTCAATGGGGGGCCAAGGTTTCAATAGAGACAATACTGATATGATTGGAGGTGCATGTTCCACCGGTTTTGTTGCAAAAGCAGATCCCGGCAAAAGGGCTGATCCCGGCAAAAGATGTTGGAGGATGTGCTCAGCAGCATCCGTAGCGGTGAGGTTCTCTCACCGATTGTCACAACAAATGACGTTTCATAAGGCTTCAGCCGAATTTCAATGGCAGAAGAGCGGACAAGTTATAAACAACACAAATAAACACAACTCCTCACCTCAGAATAATCACATGTCCATCCCACTTGGTTAAAAGGCGGTCATACAACATCCCCAGTTCATTCCTCGTCCAGCGCAGCCAATGCCCGGCGCCGTATCTCGCGTGACGCCGTATCGTCGCCCCAGGCGCTGGGCTGAGATTCTTCGAGGCCTGGTGGTGGAAATACCTGGAGATCTCTCAGCTCGTACTTCTTGGACCCGATGGGTACCGACATACAGACCTACCCTGACCGAGCTCGGTGGTATATTGGACACCCCTGAACTTCAACCCCTAGTGCAGAACGAAAATGTACTGAATGTACTGTATCAAATACACTCTGACTCACTAACATGGAAGTGGCAAACCACGTGTTTGTAGAGGAGTAGTCTTCCACCATTGTCCACGTAACCCATGTGATGTGGTCGTCAGAGTGTACCTTTTTAGATTGGTCTTGGGGTCATGTCATATCCCATGTTCTCTTGATACCCCGGTCCATGTACCGACGTGGTACGGCGTGGGCATGTCTCACTCCTACTGGGTCTGCGAAGGCGCCGGGTCACCAAACGGTGGGACACCATCGTTGGATGTTTGGAGTACTGAAGCTTTCACCTGGTGCTCACTCTCTGGAACTGATGGGCAGAGTGAAGGCCTTGAGGGCCTTGGTGTTGAAACATGTTTCACTGGATGCCCCTCAAAATGACCGGACACCAGTCCGGTCAGAGACACCGAATTCAGGAGTGGCAACCAAGGATGAGAACTTGTGTCCGACTGTATCCATTCAACACTCTTTTATCATATATTATTCCAGGAGTGGCAGGCAAATATCCAGACTTTTCCCAAGACCACTGGCACCAACACCGTTTTTTCACGATTTCCCGGATCCTCCAGAGTAGTCCCGAGCCAAGAAACAGGACGTCCCGAGCCGTTGGATCCCGGAAAAGAGCGAACTTCCCATCTGATCCTGAGGTGAGGTGACCCCAAAGATCTCCACACTAAGCTGACTCTAAGCGTGGTGATCCGCTGAACTCAAAGGAACAGGCCAGTCTCGCGCCGATCGGGCTCACCGCTGGAGCGCTGGTCATCCTTCCTGCTGTGCTTGGCGATGAGACAAGGTGGATGGAGTGATCTCCCGGGAAAAAAACAACAGCACCACCATTGTCGGGTGGTGATTGGACAAACCAAATACACGGTTGGTAGGGGGAGGGTCCATAAACCACCAGGACAACATTCCCCAACTACGAGGATTCACCCAATTCGAAAGAATATACCGTAGAATCACCCCAAGCGACACCAAGTGAACAGCCAATATGACCATGCCATAAAAATGACGTGGCAGTGTTAATTGAGGACAAGAACCATGCCCGGGCCATGCAAGCCCCTTGATTCAACTCTTATTGCTTGCTTACAGGATCTTTGTTTGGGCCGTTACTCTTCTGCACCATTGTCCATTCCCTTGGACATTTCACTGAAAACTTCAGGGGCGGTCACACAACCGTTAAGGCTGAAAGCCAAGGAGCTATTAAGCATATATAGGATGGTCACCCTATGTTTCTACAAACATCAATGGTCTTGGCGGGCCGAGGCTGACAACCTGCTTGGAATGTGACCCGTCGGAACCGCGTGTGCCGTTCTTGTCTTATTGAAACATGCTCCCGTCGGTTTTTGCGTGGCCTATACATAACACGGCTTTAGAAAGCTTTGTTAGTGAGACCCCGCAGGGTCAGGGAGGCCCCGGAAAAAAATAATACGGAATGTGTTTGAGCTGGGGTAAACCCACTTTATATATTGACTATGCAAGCCTAACTGTAGCCTAACTTGCATTAGCTTACCAATTGCAGTGAGTGTGAATGCTTTACAGGAAGGATAACACAACTCTTAAACAAGGTGTCACGGAATGCCTAAGACTTTAAGAGCTTGTTGCTAGAACAACTTCTATATTGTTTGGTGCTTTCTGTTCGTGCAGGCCTTTGAAGAAACACACGTTCTTTCTAGTCTCTGCCAAGCATGTTGAACCTGAAAACAAACTCTCAAGTACTACTCCTCGTCAGGGCCACGGGCCTCCATGCTAGTGAGCCAGAATGCGCAAAAACCCCGAAACTGACCTCATCATCTGTAATGGGGCGTCTCCAATCCCTCAAGAAAGGTGACCTGCAGCTTATCCACTTACTTCCTGGGTATGAATGGATCTAGTCGTCTTTGGCTCCTGTCCCAGGCCTCCCGCGTGCTTGGGCATGCTCATGGTCCGAACGTTCGACTGCCTGGGCGACACGTTCGGTGGAAGAAGCATTGCCTTCAGGTCAAGGGGGTACCTGGAAGAAGCTGCAATATAACGGTTGTTTTTACCCATCCGAGATCCTAGGAGTCACTAGAAGTCCTAGGGACTTTTGGAGTGGAAACCATTGGAAACTCCTATAGCTACCATGTGGATTGAGAGTAGATGGCACCTTTGGGCCCCCCGGGGCGGTGGCTTGATATTCTAAGAGGCATGTAGGGGTGCCAGCGCCATCTGTACCACCTTCATGCTTTGAGATTTCACCTGGCAGCTAGAACATTGCTCCGGTTCCTCGACTGTCAAATGCCGTTCGACAGCTCAGGGCCTGGCTCAGAGCCGCCAATTGGGAGTGGGGATGAGGATCGTGTGCCGGGAACAGCAGCAACTCGTTCAAACTGAGCCACCAAAAATGCAGCACGATGGCATCGCCCGATTCGCGGCAAAGCCCTGAAGTCACTGGTTGTTTCTCTGGAAGTGCGAACTCGATCCATGCATGTGTTGTTTGTTGATCCTTCCCCCCCACATAGATCCAAGAACATCAAGAAGAGTCCCATCTCAAGGACAACATGGGACAACTATATATAAATAGTATAATAATATCAAAACCCGCTGGGTTGAATAACCGAGAAATCGGTCTTATCACAACATCCAGTCAGGCTCTACTCTGGTTTGATCAGGGAGCAGTTCCAGGTCAAGCGGACGAGATGATATGTAATCCAATTGTCCCCTTTATACCAGGACCCTCTAAGGGCTGCCCAATGGAAGCCTATAGGTAGTGTGGGGTAGTCCATTGGACACCCCTTGGAGGGTCCTGGTATTATAGTTTATATACTGCCCTAAGGATCCGGAACCCCTCAGGACAAGCCCCTGCGAACTGGAACGTTCGACCTGTGCTGCTATGGAGGACTGAAAAGGTTCTCAATGTTCATTTTCTTAGGATGACTGACAATGTGTGCAGCACTGGGAATAAAGGATACAACAATATCCAAAGGTTTTTACGCACTTAGCCCCAAGCGACCCCCTCCAGAAGCACAATTGCCGCCACTTTTTTCTGGAAACGAACCACGGGGCGCGTGGCAAGGGAGTGCTCGCAGCATTCGCAGTCAAATCTCTCACGCTGCGTCTCTATTTTTTTGTCTTTTGACCTGAAAACGGCGAGTCAATCTGGGACGTCAGGTTAGGAGGAGTCTGGTCAAAGTGTACCAGACAAACAGCTGCTTAGCTTCATGGAAAGGTTTGATGCTGTGGCATGTCCTCAAGTCATTAACTTGATTCTATTGATCCAATTGGGACCCTAAAGAACCCAGAGCCCACCAAGAATGAGACTAATGAGACTGATCTGTTTTCGCTCCCCGACTCGCGGAAAACCCAGAGCGCTTGCACTGAATCGAACCATTTCCAAGGCTGAGTTGGAAACAAGCTTGGCGTCAGTGTGTGACTCGCAGCAGTTCGTCCGTTGCGAGGCATGACTCCTCTTGTCTCCGAGGCACGTAGTGTCGTTGCGAGGCCATCAGGCCTCCGCAGCTGGTGCGCAGTTAAGTTTCTTTCCATGTTTGTCCAAATCCTACTGGTTGCTTTCAGGTGATACTAAAATGGCATACCGGCACCCACATGGCTGGTTTCCAAGATGTCTTTTCCCACAATGGTGCACTCATCGCAATTCCATGGAGGCCCGCTTCTAAATCTCTTTTAAACTGCCACCACACTCAAGCCACAGGGATATTAAACATGAAGGCATGTCAACTGCAAAAGCTGTGAGAGAGGTGTCTAGCGCGGACCTTTTCAGGAGCCTGTTGGGCTGCTGGAGCTGTTGTTGTTGCTGCTACTGTTGCTGCTAGACTTCTGCAGTTGTTTCCAGTTTTTAGTTCTCAGAAACCTTCAGAACGACATAGGAAGGACGTAAGAGCTGACTCAAAAGATTTGGGTGTTGGATGGGCAAATGGTCAAGAAATGGACCATCGTCTAACGCTGTGCTAGCGCGGATCTAGCGCCAGCCTAGCGCAAAAATATCTGTCGATTTCTTTATCCTGTCAGATTTTTTTGGTTCCTGCTTGCTTGTCTTCTTCTTGTTGTGCATTATTGTTATTCTGCTTCTTCTTGTTTGTTTGTTGTTTTCTTGTCTTGCTTCTTCTTTTTCCTGCTTGCTTATCTTGTTATGAAGAAACCTAGCGCCAACCTAGCGCTGCCTTGCTGTATCACCATAGTCTGCTGGGGGCCCGCTTCTAAGCGAAGACTTAAAAACACATCTCCAACCTTAAAAGTTTACGTTTATCTATTTTTTGAGTAGGGCCTTTTGAGCACAGTCCATATGTGGTCATGTGGGTATGCACATCTGAAAGCAACATCTCCTATAGCGCCACCTTCGGGATCTCTGCCACCTTCGACTCACGGTAGGCTGATGGTTGGCCTGTAAAATCTTTCTACGACCCTCATGAGCAAAACAATCTCGCGTATACCCCCAGGGCTCCTGTCCCATATCCTCAGCTTCGGAGGGCACAAACCACCAAACCGCCCACCCCAACCATCTTCGAAACGGAGGTAGGCCAGTAGTTTTAGGGTACACACGCATACGCATCCGGTTCCCCGATGGCACGGCGTGACACACACCACGCCTGCTGCCACGAACAACGTGAAAGAACTGAACCGAAAGGCCCTGAGGGGACCATGCTCGTACATGAGGCCTCAAACTCGGTGCCCGGTGCCGCGTGAAAAAAGCAACGCGTGACATCGGGTGCAGGTCGTGTGGTGCGGAAGACGGCGACCGGCGACCGGCGAGTCCGACGGTGAAATCAGGTGAAATCAGATCTGGTTGAGGAAGAGCTGTTGCCCTGATAGCCACCAGGTAGGTTTCTTCCTGGTGACTCTCAGGTTGAGTCGATCTGAGAGGACGCTGTCAGCAGGTATCGTTGATGTCCTGAAGAATTACCTCATCTCCAAAACGCCCCCGTGGTGGCGCCAATATGGTCTACATTCACCACCCAAAAACATATTACATGGATGTAGGCCATTCTTTGCAGTCTGTTTGGTCGCTTCTGGGTTCCCTGAGGATCCATTTTCCTTCCCCCAAAGAAAAGGGCTTGGAGGGTACGAACTGCTGTGAACTGGAGGGTTCCGAGGATTCATAGACCCTAGGGCTCCTGTCCCATCTCCTCAGGTTCGGTGGTTAGACCCCCGAACCCCACCCCAACCACCTTCTCAGGAGGTGGGCCAGGCCCTAGGGAGAATAGACCTTACTTTCCCCCAGGCGCGGCGTCGAGAACTTCCCCCGAAATCCAGCGATTCTTTCTTTGCAGCATGGCCGGCCAATGGGGACAAATCCCAACTCCAACAGAACAGGTCAGCTGGAGGCACCACCCATTTTGGAGGGTTGGCCACGGGATGAAACAACTTCTAAAAAGTAACATACATCATGAGGGTATGTGAGGGTCAACAAACCGCCAAACCGCCCTGAGTGGTGCGGACATGTTGCGGATTTTTGTCCCGGTATAACCGGCCTGAGTGACCCTCCCCCTTGGATCACACACCACCCCAACGATGTTCTCCAGTACTCAGGAGTCATGTTTGGCTTCTTAACTTCTTAACCCTAGGGCTCCAAGTACCTTCTGAGAAGGTGGGACTGGGGTGGGTTTGGAGGGTCCAAACACCTTCTGAGGATGTGCTTGGAGCCCTAGGGCAAGGTAGATCCATTCCGTTCACCTGAATGAACGGGGGACCGGCCGTCCACGGCCACTCCCACTGCTTCGAGTGGCCCAGCAGTGCCGGAGACAGGATCCTGGCCACGGACATCACCTCAACAAACGAAGACCAGTCGTTTCGAAGAACCTGGTGATGTTGAAGCAAGATATGAATCGGACCACGCTTATGAGCATGTCACTGAGCATGTCATGTAATTGCCTAGGGCTCCAGTCGTACCTCCTCAGAAGGTATGACTGGAGCCCTAGGGATTGTCATGACATACGTGTGAATCACTCGAAGTAACGTCGGATGTTGACCGTTGATCGCTGTGGACCTACTGCCAGCGTACCTCAGAAGAGAAGGACTGGGCCCGACCCTGGCGACATGAATAGTCTCCGTCCTCACCGTACCTGAGGATCGGTATGTGGATCCATATATAGAGGATTTATTAAGAAACATAGTATCACACACAAAAAACAAAACAACATATTGGAGATGTTCGACCCATCTAGGGAGGCTGAGCGGTTCTTAGTCAGTCAACGTGATATAGTGAGTGGGTCAAACCTGCGTCTGGCAGTGGCACAAAACGTTCCTCAACAAAGGATTCAAGTTGTCATGCATCTTCTCCCACTGCGGTGCTGAAGAGGCTTCGTCATGTGTTGCAAAAGCATTCGCTGGGACCCTATTAACGTCGAAACTCTGTGCACACACGGTCACACCCGTGAAGGAAAGCTTGGAGCCAAAGTCTGCTGGCAAAGGCTGCCTTTGTCTCACTGACAAAATGAATCATTAAGAATCTGTGTGGCACTCAACATGCCCCTGCGTTTGCTCTGCTTTACATCTCTGAAGAAACATCGCCATCGCCTGCTCACTTGCTGGTCCCCAAATCCATTCCACCCAAACATAAAGAAATCACCCGATCGGCTAAAACCAGGTCAATTGAGAAATGATGAAATGGCTTCAGTGAACAACTATTATGTCAGTGCCAGAAGAATTCGAAGGAATCAACCTCCAGCGGGACCTGTTGGTGGATGGGTCAAAATCACGGAACTGGATGTTTAACAGGTGCTGGCAGATACCTCACGTCACGAATTTGCATGTGGCACATACCTCGAAAACCCAAAGAAACACTGGTTGACTATACAACCCCTAACAATCCATGTGTGGCACATTTGTCTGCATTGGCGTGACTTTAAGATGCTTTAAGTGTTAAGGGTCTATGCCCTTTCAGAAGCCAATGCGTGATGGCGTGATGTGTCCAAACTCCTGTGTACCTGACCCGTTCCAACATCTTGTTGGCCCTTACCAGTCTGAGAAGGACCTGAAAGTTTCCTCCTACAACCCTAACTGCCTGCGATAAGTGGCCATAGGCCATAACTATCATTAGTTTCAAACTCACTGGTCTCACCTTGATCCACCACCAGATCGCTTCTGCCTGCCACAGTGCCACCCCTGACTCACACAGCCGTCCAGCCACCCAAGCATCCATGGCAATGATGCGGCCGCGGAAGCGCTCGGGCGAGAAACGCGCCAGTAGAATGGGCACCGAGGGGGTAAAGGCTGGCACCTCGAGGAGACGGCAACGTCCGGCTCAGTAGAGGTGGGGCGTCCAGCAGACTTCCGAAAGTCGGTCCTGCCGATTCAAATGGCACTGGCAGCTGCATGGAGGGTCCTTTGAATTGAACGGGTCCATATCAGCCCTGCCTGCTGGGGGGTTGTGCTATCGTCTGAAAACACTGTATAATCAAACCTGGAGAACCATTTGGTACACTAAAATGTGTACCACTTTTTTTCTGCACGTTTCCCAGAAATGTGTTCGACTCAGGGTCCCAAAAAATAAGGTGTTCGTGTGTTTTGGTAACTGCGTCTTGCCGGTGACATACGCAGTTGCCGGTGACCTGCAGGTTCTTCCGTCCCGCCGTCCCGAGGCACGCCGAAGGCGTACAAGAGCAGCGTGAGGATCAGCCGGTGGTGGCTCATGGCGATGAAGGAACTGGACATGCACAGTAAGCCTCGGCGGAAGCGCTGCAGGAAGTTTAGACACTGCAGCGCTGACAACACCAAGGCGGGACTGGGGTGGAACCCCAAGGCTTGGCTTCTGTGACTCCTGGAGAAACCACCCCATGGGCCCATGACCAACAAGTTGAACACGTGGAGCATTGACTGCATTGACTGAAAACGGCGCGTCTGAAGAGCTCACGGTGCGGGTGTTCTGAAGAAACATCGTGGCGCACGGAACATTGGTATTTGGAGCTCAAGAATGCCAGCAAACATGAGTTTGGTGGAATGCAGCCTCCTGTGCTTGATCCTCAAACCTTCGATCAAACTATCTTTGTTCAACTAAGTAGGGTGACCGGGCGTGCAGCAGTAAACATGTTACATGTTGCTTGTCTGTATAGCCAGGTGTGCTGTAAACAGTTGATTATTGATTACTATAGATCAATGACTCTGTTCATGGTGCTGAGTTCTGTCGGAGAATAGTGATCTTGAACTGTGATTAGTGGGATTTGCGCGTTTAAAAATATATGAGATTTGCGCAAGCGGTCGAGGTGATACCCCTTACTCTGCCATGGGGCATCCGGACACCCATTTCATAGAGGATTTGTGTTTATAAAATGGACATCCGCAAAAAGAGTTTATATATAATGATGGCCGTATGTGTCTCCAAGTTTGGTATATAATGATGGTGCTTCTAAGGTATCAAAAAGGATCAAAGAACTCTGGAGAAGTGGCATGCTTCTAAAATGATAGGCTCCAGGATCAATAAGCACCAGTATAGCTTTTCCTGAAACCTTTATGAAATGACAAATCCACAAGCAAACCTGGGCGACCCCATCACTCCATCTTTGGGCTACTACTTCTTAGGACTCTGGGGTGTAGAAGTCAAAAAGTGCGGTTTTGACTGGGTTTCCAGTTTCTCTCAGGCTCCTGGGGAAAGAAAACCCAGCTGAATTGAACACATATTTATAAAATGATCTGGTAGTTCCCAAATTTTGCAAAATATGCAGAAATTGTTTGGAGATATCATTTTATAAATGGTATCCCCTGTTCTACCCCACTCGTTCCGGACCTCCCATTCACGCTTCCCCTGTTGGGAGTTCCTGAAACGCCACTGTGAACTCACTTGGATCACCAGCAGCAAATGAAGATCACGTGAGAAAAGAAGACAGAAAACAAAACAACCTACAGAGCGAACTCCCAAGACGACAGGTGCTTGGAACACCCGTTGAAGAGAGAAGTTCGGCGAAATTTGCCAATTCGTCCACTGAAAAACGGATTGAAGCGCCAACGATGGCCCCCTGGGGAAGGGCACGTCCTTCTGTCTTGAGCTTGTACTGGTCAGTCTTGCCAGGAAAAACTCCATGGGAGGAAAGTTTGTTAAAGAAAACGAGGACCCTCCTCAACCAGAATGTCAAATCACGGAAATTGCTGTCCGCAGCTGAGCATGATCGAAGGACATATCCACGCACCCAAAATAGGTACGCAAACTCAACAAACGCTGTACATGCACTAGGATCAAGTCTCCACTCCAGAGAAGAAGTAAAATTCAAAAAGGTTTGAAGATCACCAGAATCAAGGCGTGCAAGCCACCCTTCCGGATGAAAAACACGAACATCAGATGTCCACGTGTATTCTGATGCAGCCACACACCAGTCCCACCGGGGCAGGCGTTTGCGGTAATGTGCAACTTTGTCCAGGATTGGTTGATCAACTTCTTCCTCAACGCAAGTTGGAACGATACACCCAATCTGCTTATTCCACTGCGAAAGGAAAAGCTGACGGCGAAAAACTTGTTGCTGTACATATTGAAAGGTCTTAACACCAATAGGAAGCCTCGCAAGAGCTGCTTGCTTTGCACAATGATCTGCAATTCGGTTTATCACAATACAGCGCTTGGTTGTCTGATGCAGAACCGCGAATTCTTCTGAAATTTGGTCATCTCTCAAATGATCCGCAAGATGAGCAGGAATCCATGAAACACGGACTGGATCAGGACACTGTGCTTCTCGTAAAAGATACACATCTAAAATCCTTTGCCACCACAGAGGGTGGGAGCAGGAGCATGAAATCTTTCGATTACGAATCAATGTGGCAAATTGTGTGACAACAGATTGGCAATCAGAGTAAATTTGAACCTTTGCGGCGCATGTCACAATGGCTTTATACAGGGCAAAAAGCTCTGCTGAATATGCTGACAGGTTGGGAAAAAGCACCGGTCCGGCAGAAACACACCGGCCACAGCTGTCAACAACACTATAGGCTGCGGATGTAAGCCAAAAGTCTTCCGCAAAGACGACTGAACCATCGCTCCATCGCTCCTCACAAGTCAATGAAGGATCAAAAAGAGCTGGATGGTCTTCGTCGATTGGGGTGTACTGTAGTCTTGCTTGAACAATGCCTACCGGGTGTTCAACAAGGCCTAGGATCTGGAAGTTGGGACCAAGTTCATGCACTGGTGGTTGCACAAACGGAAGTGGCCCCGTACATTCTTGCAACAAATGTCGCATAGATTCAGAAGGTGATCCACAATAACGGCAAGCATTTGACTCGGTGAAACCTGCAGCATACCTCCTGTCGTTGGTCACAGTGCAGCCTACACTCTGCGATTCAAAATGAGGTGTCAAGTCAAGTTCTTTGTTTTGTGGTTTGACATAAGAACGATAAAAGGTGCGAAAAAGGAAAGGATCCAAAAAACCCTCAGGTTTACATAGATCCTTACGTGTCTGACATGCAGCTTTTTCATAACAGCTCTGAATGGCAAGGTGTTGCAAAAGCACTTTAATGTCTCTTACACCCAGGTGAAGTGCAGGAATTCGAATATCACCAAACACAAGCTCAAGGACAGGAGAAAGACTCAATTTGAAAACATTGAGAGCGGTTTGGACTTGGTACAACAAACTGTGCTTGGCAAGAGAAGTGCCCGACAAAAGGCGACGACATTTCTCAACCGCAGTGGAGTCAACATGAAGCAATCTCCAAAAGTCAAGAACGCAACAGTATGCACGGGCACAAAAGGGTTCGACTCGGTGAGGTTTAGTCAACAACGCAAAAATAAGCATCTTTGAACGCCAGTGGGGACGTCCGCCCCAGAAAACCTGGGCGATTTCACTTTGGATCTTTTCGATGTGTTTCTTGGGTATCTTCGAAATGTGAGAGGCAAAGGTGAGTTGTGGAAGGACTTTACTTCCAATCAAGTGTTCCTTGACAGTGCGTCCAATTGGAAGGTTAGCAATGTTCTTGATGTCCGCAACAATTTTGTAGCACTTATTGGTATCAAAAATATACGAATCTCTTGGAGATGTATACGTCTTGGCGCCCCAAACATCAAATTCAAGATGCAGTGGTAAGTGCGGAAACAGCTGTTTTGCTTGCTTTCTAGCGCCGGGCGAAGTGGCCCACAACACACTCTTTTGAGGGTTAAGTTGTTGGCCTACGAGCGAGCCCCACAGTTCAGTGGTTTGGAGTGCAGTCTGCAAAAGATGGATCTGATTAAGTTTAACCCACAGGTAAGCATCATCGATGAAAACACGCGAAACAACATGCGGAATGTGCTCAATAAAGGTGGCCCAAACGTGCATATAGGAATTAATAGCCAAAAGCGAGAGTGAACAACCCTGTGCCACACCATTAGCATTAGTGACAGCATTTTTGGAAATCCAACCTCGATATGACAGGTGTTTGTGTAGGCCTCTATACATCATGAGAAAAAGGTTGACAACTCCTTTCGGAACACCAAGTGCCAACATGAAAGCACCAGCGATTGTGGGAATGATCCTGTCGAAACACTTGGACTGGTCGAGCTTAATGCCAACAAGATGATCGTTGGACTCCTGGGCAATGTCAATGTCAATACGGAGACCATTGCTGACAGAAGACATCGAACGTCCACGAATTCCACCGAAAAGAGACGAGTGCAAGGTGGCATTCTGCCATTCCTGAAGTTGACGAAAGCGAGTGCCCGTGTAGGCAAGCAAAATAGGCGATAAAATCGTGATTAACCTCTTATTAAGAGGACTTGCTGGACCTGCCTTATTTAAAATAGCTTGTTTTGCACAGACCAGAGTAGATGGAATGTCACCACCACTCAGGTTTTCAAGAAACAGGAAAAAATTGGCAAAAACCTCGAGACAATGCAGAGGAAGATGCTGTAAATCAGTAGTTCGCCACCCATCCAATCCAGCAGCGGCATCTGGGTTACGATGCGCAATGGTAGTCGCAAGTTCTTGTGCCGTTAGCGGCGGCATGGACCAAGGTTCATGGCTCGAACTAAGATAAGGCCAAGCAACCTGCAACACTTGAATTGGGTCTTCATGGAGTGCATTGGATGAAAAGATGGAGTCCCACTGATCATTAATAAGGGATAACGCTGCATTTGGTTGACAGACAATGTTGTTGTCAATGTCGGTGACAAGGTTTGTAGGCTCGTCCAATACCTTATTACGAAGGTGATGGAAGATGTACTTTTTGTCACCATGTGCAGATTCTTTAATACGGGATTTCCAAGATTTTATGCGGGCCTGTCTCTTAGAGAAGTCCCATGCATCAAGCTGGTACTGAACCCAGGTAATGCACCTATATACATCAAGGAGTGTCGGTTGTTGCGGCACAAGCCAAAGGAAAGGGCATTTCAAAGTCGAGAGCGTATGCCGAACTTTAGTGGTTGTTCTCTGAAATACATGGAAATCTTTGAGTGATGCAAACGGCCGCTGAAGGCGTGTATACAATTCACGAAGTCTGGCAAGTGAATTCTGAAGCCACGAACCCTTAAGGGTGAGGGCGGTTAGAAATCTAGATTGACCCGGGCAAAATTGCTTCGAAGAAAATTTGGGGCTAAGCCCTCGGGAGTGTTCCCCGTGTCCCCAGGTTGCGCCTGATTTGACAAGGGTTTGAACACACAGATCGTTGACAATTTTCCACTTATCTTCAGGGGAGGATAGGTTATTGAACTGTACTTCAAGGCCTGACTCCCACAGTACCTTGGCATGCTGATTAGAAGGGTGATCAGGATTAC